AAAAAAAAATCCTGCAACCTGATATGTATTTTAGAAGCTCTCTCTATCTGATAAAAAATTATCCTGGAAGCCAGGTGTGGTGGCAGACTCCTGTAATCCCAGCACTTAGGAGGCTGAGGCAGGAGGTTCTCTGTGAGTTAGAGACCAGCCTAGGCTACATAGTGAGTTCCAGGGCAGTCTCACATAGTGAGACCCTGTTTCAAAAAAAAAAAAAAAAAAAAAAAAAAAATCCTGGAGATGGGTGGATTTTCTTGTGTATAAATGTGATGCTTACAATTGAAGAAGCCCAGACACTTAATTACAAAATTTGATCAGAATAGGCTCAGGATCAAATCTAGCAGATAGACTGAAGAATTGTTTCCACTCCTCACAATCAACGACGGCAGGTGCCCCTGCCCATTCAGCTTGTGATCCGGAAGGAGGACTCGGGAAGACACTGGAAATGTTCCGGAAGATTGGGACTCATGAGCCATTAGCTCTCAAGCTGTCAGCTGGATCGTGGGCGACTGGCAGACTTGGGGCCCTTAGAAAGCACTGGTATCTTTAGGTTGCTTCTTTTTTGTTAAATTTATTTTAACTGTCACATAATATCATTAAAATTGTAGGTAATAATGGGGTAACCTGTAACATTTTGATAGTTATGTACATCGCATAATGTTTAATTCATGGTAAACATATACCCCTCTTTAAAACTTGCTAATGTCTTTTCTTCTGGCCTTTAGAAACGTTCCAAAGGCCTTACATACACAGACTAAAATGAGCTATCCTGATGGCTAACTTATTTGGGAGGCTTTCGTTAAACCTGAACTTTAACAGCACCACACTGTTGGGAGCGCAGCCCTCGCCATCAGCTACGGATCCGCAATAGGGTCATGGTTTCCTGAGATTCCAAAAGCACAGCCAGGCCTGGGCCTGATCTGGGGAACAGGCACCTTCCCTGCCTGGCGCTCTTTGCTCTGTAGTGCGCATCCCGGCCATTTCAAGCTCAGGCCTTTGTAGAATCCTGCAACTCAGGAGGTTAGACTGCCTGCTCTCCACTGTGCGTCACAGATCACGAGCTCAAACTCACCACACAGAGCGAAGATCGCCCCTGCGATCATTACCGAGGCTTTTCCCATCACACCACCTTCCTAAGCACAGAATGACACATGCGAGGGGCTGTGTGATTCAATCTAGCTAAACAACCCCCCGGGGTTGCTACTGTTACCAGCAGAGGAGAGCAGGAGGGTCACCTATGGAAGTGGATTATCCACGCTGATTCAGGGAGACTGCGTGACCGCCCCCGCAGCTCGATCTGAAGGCGAATTCTGCTTTGATAAGATGACCGGGGAGATTTTCCTCCCTGGTTTCTGGCCTACTCCCTCCAGAGATGTACACTGCTGTTGTCCTTCACCAAGCACAAGCAAGAAAGCGTCATGTGAACCGTGTTAAGAATTCGGGGTGGAGATCTTG